CATGCTCAGTATATGAATGGTAAGCGTGTCCAGGAAGTCGTGATCACTGGTTTTTTTGGGCATTGCTTGGCGAGTACACTCATTTTGTATATTCTATCATCATTATTATTATTATTATTATTTTCCCTTCCTTTTCTGTTCTATTAAACTCTTTATCTCAGCCCATAAGTTTTCTCACTCTTACCCTTCCGATTCTCTCCCTGTCCCACTGTGGGGTGGGGGGCGTGGGGAGTGAGCAAGCAGCTGTGTGGTGTTTGGCTGCCTGCCGGGTTAAACCACAACAATTACATACAGGGAACTTAAGTAAAGCAAAGATGGCCCTTTGATTTTCTTGTCCTTGTCAAGCAATAATATTCCTCAGTAGCCTCAGATCAAGATATACTCACATTTTCAATCCCTTCCAAGCTAGATTACAGTGACAACTCTTCAAAATATGTTCAATCAGTATACTAATACAGAAAACCTTAACAAGCATTAAGAAAAATGCCAGAAGAAGTTTTTCTTCATTTCTTATCCTGGATAAAATATGTTTTTGCACCAGCTTTTTAAGAGGACTTACGACGTACGTCTTTAAAGGTCATCAGGTACAGATCTATTTGGACCTAACGGCAGCGTGTTCAGAAGGAAAGGGAACAGTCTCTTATCCCATGCAACAAGGCCTGATAATGTTCCTCCGCATATCCCACAAGGGTACCACAAGACAGAACTCCTGCCACTGCTACCTTCAGTCCTCCCCAGATACAAGTTTCTAGGTTCATTCTTGAAAGAAGACAGTATTGAACAACAGATTAGCTTCCTATATAGATATAGACAATATCTAGACGTCTTCACTCGCTCAAATAAATAGCATTCAGAGAAGTGGGTGGTGACCTGTATCACGTTCTTGGGCTCTGGAAAGTACTTAAAACCTTACCTGCGACACGAACCAGCAGTCTGAGAGACTTGTTTTTCCCCATAAAACCTGTATCAAAATTCAAATTATCTACAACATTCATCCTCACAACTGAATTTTAAGGTCAGCAGCAAATTCCAATTTAAAGCCACTTTCCACTAAAACTTTCAATATGGATCTCAAATTTAAAATCTTTAAGTTCCATGTTGCCTTTTTTAACACAGATTTAACTCACATTTTGGAGCAGCAACCTCTGTGGTTTCCCTTAACAGTCAGTACTGAACAGTTACACAGCCTATATTCAAGAAAACTCAAATAAAATAAAAAACCAGAAAGGGAGTTCTTTGTCACTGACCTCCATGTCCCACATGCAAGTACTGGTACCAATGAAGACATACAACTGCCAGGTCTTGGAGTAGCCTCCATAGCACTGTAATAGTCTAGAGATATAGTGGACTTTTTTCCCTCCTCCCAGAAGGCGAAAGAGACCATCACAACCACGTTTTCAAGGAAAGGACAAAACAGAAAAAGGAAAGGGAAGGTAGGAATAAGAGAGAACAAGAAGCCACCCAATTGACTCAGCACTATGTCTTATCTCCCACTACCCAGTTACTGTAAATTCAGGCAAGAGCAAGCTAATCCAACCACAATTGAAGACTAACTTAGCATTGCCAGACCTGTGTGCCCCATTCCCAAACAAGAATAAGTTCCCATAAGCAGTTTTGTGGTTTTGAGTTTGAAATTTAAATCAACCTTAAAAATATCATGGAGACAACAGTGGCCCTAATGAATGGCTGCCTCAGTTTTAATACTTCTAAAATAAATAATTCAAAATAATAGCAATAATAATTTTTAAATCATCCTGAAATTTTTGTTTTGTTAGCTAATGCAACAGTAGTATATATTTTGCTTATTTATTAAAAAACATAAATGTTGATTTACACAATTAAGAATTACTGATATTTTCTGGGACAACCGTGCTAGCTGTGTAATGTAAGTCTACTGCACAAGACTCAACCCCATACTAAATTGAGAAACAATTCTTTCGGCATACAAAGTAGTTTGGGCACACAGATAAGTGATTCTGCTGAAATACAATTTCCTTCACAAATTGCAATTGAACGTTTTTGTTTGTTTTATAGTGGGTTCTGAAATGATCTGGAGTTGAAAAGCATGAAACCTTCATCTTTTTTCCTTTTTGGGCTATGAGCAAACACAAAATGCGAGGAGATGAGGCCAGCTACTCCGAAAACCTTGAAGAAAAAAAAGGTAGCAGAACATCTACACAGAAAGGTAACAATATCTCACTGCATACAGTTTCTGTACTAAGCGCAAATTCCTGTATTCAACATCTGCTTGTTATTTAATCAGGTATATCTAAACCAAATTTTATTAAAACTGTTAGAAAATGCTGTCTTTAATAAAATTATTCTTGTGATTTGGGTAGGGCTTTGGTTTTTTGAAAATGGAAATCTGGTTAAACTCAAAATGTGCCAATCTAGCTCAATATATTTTAGTGAACAACTCTAAAGGACAATTATTGCATTGCATACTGCACAATGCATTACATTTTGGACACAGTATTTTTCATACTCAAGCACTAGTTTTATATTCATTATATAAATCAATTTGTTATTAAAACTATTTTGCTATCAGAAAAACAAACATCTGTGCTTGTTTTTTAAATAGTCTAATGCTTTCCTTCTTTCCAAGAGAAGAAATTTAAGCAAAAACTGAGCTACTTAACTAAATATAGCTGGAATTAAGAGTATCATCTTTCATGACCTTACCAATATAGCTCTGTCTTAAAACCCATTAGAATAACCTGATGAACACATATCATCAAATAAATGCAGTCATTTCAAAATATCGTTTTCACAACACTCTGGAAGAAATGTGAAGGTTAACGAAAATTCTCATGTAATCATTGGCATCTAAATTTGGTGATATGAACTGTGCCAAGCGAGAGTATGGAGGAAGACAGGGGGGAAAAAGAGACTACCCTTCAGTTCCTATTATTTAGGTGCTCTGAATAGTATGTCAGTTATACACCCAGTGCAGATCAAGTGGCATGCAGGAAACCAGGACTGCTTTACAGGAAGGCAAGCTATGATTTTCTACAGAGGGATTCCTCAACCAACAAGTATAAAAAAAACCCTTCAGAAATTAAACATCTAAATGGCAAGCACCTAAAGCAAGTGTTTGAGAACAGCTATAAATCAATAACCTTGCAAGGGTAGTAGTAAGCTGGTATGTTTCAAAGCATGTGATAATAAAATTCAAGAACAACTTGGGAAAAAACTTCATGGTCACAGTGAAAACAATGAACAGATTAAGAATTCAACTATTTCAATTTATTTTGTGAAGCTGGATAAAACTGAATGATCAGAACTCCAAATGAATCTCCAAATATAATTCTGAAATTACATTAATACAATCTATTATATTAATACCACCACATTTTGAGATTACTACACTCTTATATAGCATAACAGAAATAAAAACAAAGTTTACCGAAATCAGCTGGGTAACTAAACCTCCAACATCTAATAAACAATATATTAAATAAGAAATAAACAAAAATCATAAGATGAGATGTGCATCAGTGGTTAAATGAATCCAGTGGAAAAAAAAATAATTAAGGAGAAGAGGTACGCTTAACTTAAGAAGGGATAGGGACATTAACCAAACTTACTTCCTGTTCATGAGATGTCTGATTAATGAATGCATGCTTTGTGAAATTCATCTCTTTACCGTCTATCTTCCTAACAACATCATATACTTTTCTGACCTTGAACACCTGACTTCTTGGAGTTTTATTTCCATTGTAGCCCATGTCATTTCCATTACTGGGAGAGGATGGGCCAATGCGAAAGACATGGCAAAATATCCTCACGATCCTTAAGAGACTCTTCATTTGAGCTTCATAATTACTTGACAAGCTGGGGGAAAAAATGGAATATTTAAGTTTCTTTTCCTAGATTAAACAGTTTAGTATATTAAGGAGTAAGCAATCTAATGGTAGGGTTTGACACATGCTGAAAAAACTCTAAGCTTTAAACCCTAATGAATTTTAACTTTCCTGCACCAGCCCCAAAGTCAAATATAAGCACTATAATTTTACTAACATGTACTCATAATTTTAACTAAAAGTGAAATAAGAACAGCAAATTCCAGATCTTGCAAAATACTTCATTTGTTTTTACACACATGTACACTTCCTATGAACCGCTGGTAGGAAATTCAACTTACTACAGTAAGGATCTCGATGTATGAAACAAATTGGGATATCCACATGAAAAATGTTTTTCAATCCAGAAAAGATAGCATTCAATGGTAAAAGCGTACTGAATAATCAGATATGCTGCCACAGCCCATCCTCACCTAGCTGTTATCCTAAATGCCCATTAACTACCTCAATCAGACAAGGGATCAGGATGGTAAAGATGCCACTATTTCTACTCAAGAAAAACATCATCTAAAAGATACTACACAAAAGCACCACTATGTTATTTATTTATCCAATAAATATATTAGAAGTTTTATGTCTTCTTAACTGAATTGGCCAACACTGAACTCTGTACTGATACAGTGTAGAATATGAGATATTCATGAGTTCATGCACAAGCAGAACATTCTCCACCAAATTTGACTTGGTTTTCTTTCTTTAAACCCCAAGTAGTAAGAATTCTTCTGTCTTGAACACATAACAAAAAATGCAAGAAATCAAAACTTTTTCTACTGAACTCTACTCACTTATAAGTACATATTCAATTCTATTCTTAAAGTACTTGTAACTTAAAAGCATGCTTTCTAACTGTAAGATCAGTATGCACCAGAAAACTGACATCTTAGAGGATGCTGTAAACCTCTGATGCTCTGTTAATTCACAAATCTGAAACACAGCTAGTTGTAACATCACAGTTATCGTGACCTCACTCTCCCTAAGGCATGGGTAAAAGCAAAAGACCTATTTGTTTTCAGCACTACATTTTAATGACTGTCAGTGAGGTGTTAATTTTAAAAAGCCACATACTAACAATTTTACTGAACTGATATACAAAGTACAACTTTCTTGTCACAATCTAGACTTTAACCAGAGAAGTTTTCAGTAAATCGAGATAAGAAAGGAACACAAAGAGCAAACAGTGCAACAGTAGGCATGTTAAGTTCTTAACCAGGTAAAGAAAATCCCCTGACTAGCAGGCTGTAACTGTATTACCAGAATTGTATTACCAGAATTTGTGGTCACAGCCACAAATTAGCATTTGTAAAATCTTTGCTTATATATCACAAGAATCTATGTATTACCAGAATTGTATTACCAGAATTTGTGGTCACAGCCACAAATTAGCATTTGTAAAATCTTTGCTTATATATCACAAGAATCTATGAATAAAAGAAGCTAACTCAAGAAGCTAAGTTAAGTATTGAAAAAAAAAAATTTCGATTGAGATTTATCACCCCTCAGCAGCAGTGAAATTTCAAATTAAATCTGCTGGTCTCCAGGAAGAGGACCCACATACATAGGAAGACCTTAAAGTGCTTTTAATAGTTTACTGAAGCTTTTACTAGCATGTTTGTAAACATTCAGCTAGGCTCAATCTGCATCAGCAAGACCAAATCATGTCACACTACAATTATTTCTTGGAAAGAGGAAATATGCGATGGAGGTAATGCTAACTGAACAGGCTCCTTGCTGGTATTCAAGGCAGAAGTCCTCAGGCAGAAGCCTGGTGGCACTCCTGGCTACCTGCTAGAAGCATTACAAAAAACAACTTCAGACACTTTTGAACTAAACAACAAACAAACCCAACAGCAATGGGCTGCGGGTTAGCACCCAGGAAACTAACAGTGATGATACTAGTTCAGCCATGCAAGAGTATCATTACTAGAGGTTTTCATGTACAGAGTGCATTCTACACACTATTTGTTGGAAGGAGGAGAGGAAAGAGGCCCAAGCTCAGTGAGTCTATATTCACCAAGTACTACCTTCATCCTCATTATGTTAATAATAAAGCAACTGAGAAATACTTAGTTGAAGTAGAGATTGAAGCCTCTGACAAGGAACAGAATTGGAGAGAACGGAGACACAGTTCTTGTGAAACTGTATCTTGTGATAGAAAAAGAAAATAATTCCATTTCCCTTGTGACATATTACAAAGTAGCAAAGAGAAGTGGGCCAGTAAGAGTCCACAGGACATCTTAAGTACAGGTATCTCTGGAAATGCCTGATCAATCCAACACAATGCAAAGCTTCCAACTTGTCTTCAGCCTCCGCTACTCAACCCACATGCAGCAGTACAGGAGTATACACCAGCCCAAATTCAGAGACAGTACAGGCATGTAAGTACTGTTTCCATAGCCATACTGAGGGAGCATTGCTCAATACAGAGGAGCAATAACAGTGATAAATCAAATCTAAACACACGATCAGTTTAATTTATCTCTGAAGATACTGAAATAGAAGCAAATACTGCCTCATATGACCTAATCCAGCTATCACGACTTCTGATAATGTCCCCATACAAAGCAAGTTTGAAACCCTTTCCTGCAGAACTGTTTTGCACTTTATCACAGTTTATTTGTGGGAGATCTATTGGCTCTAATGAAGCCTGGAGACAGAAGGAATGTGTTGCAAGTTAAGCTGATTACACACTGAAGCCCAACAACAGCTAAAGTTCTTCAAAAAGTTATCTTTGCAGCAACAAAATGTCATTAATGTGTCTATGCACTTTAACACCAAACATTTGAGGGGTTTAAGTCTTTTATGCTCATTCATTGAGGCGAACACCCACCAGAACAAGAATGTGATTAATGGCGTCATGAATTTCCTAGCATTGTCTAGGAGTTCTGACCTGCTCCATCCAAATTTAACATGACTGGTGGGGAAGAAAAAAAAAAAAGCACCTAAAACTAAGAATATATTATTTAGTCTCCATCTAACTGACGGGCTCCTCGCGCCCCGGCCCCAGTTGAAAAGAAGCATTCAAAGTCTTATTCATCTACAACCAATGCCGACAGGCCCCTCCAGTTACAGAACACTCTTAAACCTCTCTTCTCCAAAAAGCCATCCAGAACACATTAGTAAGGAACTTCCACTCCTGCCTTCAGGCTCTTGACTTCTTTCCAGAAAGATTTTCTCAGCTTCTAATAAAGCATAAAGGTTAGAGCAAATTCTGCTAGCTTTTGCAAACAGTAAAACGTTACTGGTGTTCCAACAGGTTACAGATGAGGCGTTTTGCACAAACTCCCTCAAACAGATGCCACAAAAACTAGGAAAGCATACTAGGAAAATATGCTTGCCTATTTTATGTGTTTCCCCAAGTAAGCGCTTCTTGCGTTGCTGAGACAGCACATTGGCAGATGAAGTTTTTGGTCTCATATATATTAGTAGCCACAGCAGGCAATCAGAGCCAGCAAACATGAGACAAGTGTCTGAAGTAACAAAACTCTGATCAAACATACTAAGAAAGCAGAAAAGTAAAGATGTGGAAGAGAAGAAAAAAGGAGAGGGGAAAAAAAAAAGGAATGATTGATAGTTGGTTAAAAAGCTTCCCTTTCTAGAGCTGACATAGCGAAATGAACCAAACAAAAAATACACTTCTCTGCAACTCAAGCTTCTAGGCACCAGCAGCTATACAAGGACACCTTAAGTCCCCGTGAAGACAGTGATCTAAACACACACTGTCATACAGAATCAGATTTAAGATCCATCTACTGCAGCATGTGCCCAGCATCAGATAGTTTAGATTACCAAAACTACTAAGTGGCACCAACTACCAGGTAGCTTATCAACCTACTTATTATCCTCTCAAACTTACCTAAGCAGTTTGTGACCATTTGTTGTAGCAACTTCAGCAAGACTTGTTAGGATTTTAAGATACTGACTTTCGCTCTGCTGAGACAAGTGTTCCAGAACTTGCCGCAACTGATACATTAAAACAAAAGAAATTACATAGTGTCATGGAGCATCAGATCAATGTTTAATTTAGAGCATTATCACCCAAGCATTAATATCTAGTAATATTAATGTACGTCTATATTGTCCAATGTCTAATCTAACCTCAGTTAATGTTTCATTATAATTTACAAGGATTACTGAAAACATATACATTCTAGTGTCAATGTATGTACTACAGGATATATAATATTATAGAATGCTATGAACGCTGAATGCTTAAGCATGTATTATTAATTCATAAGAACAACTTATTTTCATCTGAAAAATTAGTGGGATACATTTTCAACTTCTGAAAGCTAAGAGCATATTTTGAGTTTCATAATTCATAATTTACCTGTCTCCCCAGTTCACTCCTCGGTTGGTTTATGACACAGTGTAAATGAGCCTTGGATCCTAGAGTTTGCTCTCACTACCTTCATTTTTGCTCAAGATACTGAATGTCCTTCCTTGGATAAGAAGTCATACCCTGCTAATCAATAATTGTTATGATTACCCTCTTCTCAAAATTGTTCTTTTTGTTGCTAATACCATCACTTGGCTCACAAAGACTAGATGTTGCAAATGCTCACACACTGCCCTGTCTTCAGCTCCTTTGTTCTACACTTTTCTCTAGCCTAGACTTTTTTTTTGCAGATAAACTAACTCTTCACTGGCACTGCTTTTCCATGCATTTCTATTGTATCCTCATTTATTTCCTTCTCTCTCACTTTCAGAAAGTTCAGTAGTCCTTCTTACCTTCTCTTGTAGAAAGGTGGAAAGAAAAGGAATCTCATAAAGGTCATCTAGTCCAACACTCTGCCCCAAGGCAGGAGCACTTGTATCTGCGATCTAAACTGGCTTACCCAATTTGCTTGCCTGATTTTCAGATGTCTTCTACTCTGGAAGCCCTGCAGCTTCACTAACTGATCTCTTCTAATACTTCATTGTCCTTGACTATATGAAAGTTTTTCTCAAGGTTCAGCTGAATCTCTAGCTACAAATGGCTAAGGCAGTATCTTTCTCCCTGGAGTCTGTCGATAATTTTTCCAGTTTGTCAACAACATTTAAAATGCGAGTCCTGACTTTTAACATACATCCGGTCTCTTCATGTCATCACTTTCAGATAATATGGACTGGTCATTACCCAAGACTTTGGGGAGAACAGCTCAGACTTGGCCATAGAAAACCATACTTAAAATACGCTTCCATTTTGGCAATGAAGCATAACTATACAGTGTATTATCTAATATATATTATCTAATATATTTTGCATATCCTTGCATTCAGATCTTGTTTTTGCACACACCTCCACCATTACTCAGACAGACGAAACATTCATTTTTCTCGCTTACTGTCTTCACTTCTACAATATACGGTAATATGTTTTGCCATTTACCTTTCTGTAGAAAGTCTTTTTTGTTCCATGGTTTTAGTTCTTCAACTTTCTCTTTTATTTGAAATCATCTACACCATCTCCCCATGCTTCTAACATACACTTTGAGAATTCTCACCTGTCATTTTACTTTGTAAAACTCAACCCTGTCTCAGAAATTTAAACACTGTTTCTATATAGATTCATAAATCCTCAGTCTTCTAGTGAAAGTATTGTTCTCTGTGATCCCATTAAGAACTTCAAAAATCTAGCAAACCAAGTTCAGTGAAGTGGCAGCCAATACCTTACTAAATCTATTCTTTCTTCCTTTTTTTTTTTCAGATTTACAGTCTGTAAAATTGTTTGCAGTTATTTTCAAGCAAACAATATATTAAAAACCCACAGCTAGCTAGATTTGGAAAGGGAAAAAAACACCCCATGCTTCCTTCCCCCTACACAGTCAACAAACAAAAATTCTTTTCCTTGTTTTTTCTTTGCTTTACATTGCACTATCCCACAATAATAAAAGAAACAAGGTATAGAAGAACCACTGAAAAAGGAGCAGAATAGTTTAATCTACAGCAATAATAACCAAATGAAACTCTGGCTGCAATCTTTTACACTCTAATTGTACAAGGCAACTTCATACAGATGAGTGCTTATACTCTAAATGTTCAAATTCATTCTAGATGATTCAACCCTCAAGACACGTCTTAGAATGGGTATCTGCAGATAACCACTAAATGAAGGAAAACAGGTCCCATTACACAAAGCAATTATATATATATAGAATTCTCTACCAGCACCTTTGTATTGAAGCTTGCAACAGGTCTGCTCTTTCAATTCTTACACTATCTAGATCACTTCGCGAAATACGCAAAGTTAGAACACTAAATTAAAAGAGATCCTACGTTTAATCCCAAATTCTTGTGTTTAAAACTATGTGAACACTGTACATTTTCCATGGCCGAAAGAAAAGTACATAGTGGTCAACTCATATTAGTGTCCAACACTAATCAGGACACTCATATTAAGCAATCAGATCTCCACAACACAGACCGATCAGTAACTATAAAACACAAAACACATAATACTGTATTACCATGTTTTCCCGTAGATCTTCATTCTGCGTCATTTGAATTATTGTCTGGAAAAGTCGAGGATGGTATTGTATTAAGATTTCACAAGTCTCTCCATAACCACCCTAAAAAGCAATAGTTCAAAAACCATTTTAATTAAAAGAAACATTAGAAACTGGGGTTTATACTATTACAGGCATTAAACCTACAATTTTTTAAATGCTGAATGGAGAAATCCAATTCTAAAATACACTGAAGTTCATAACGTATCGAAGTTAGATATCACAAAACTTTCAGGAGAAGACAGAATCAAATTCTTTCAGTATATCGGCTCACATATATCTGCTCCCTTTCTTCTGTTTTTTGAAACACTTTCCTACTTAGAAAGCCAAAGTTAAATTTGAACAACACTTCACCTAACAATTTACCAGAGATTAAAAACAGTGCAATATTTAGCTTCTCTTCCCATTCCTGACGGATGACACACGTCTACCTAATTACACCCAGAGTCTAATCCTTCAAAACAAGTATTTTCCTAAAGGTTCATAAGGTACAAATACGACTTGTTAAAGGAAGAAACAGGATAAATCCATGAAAGGGTTCTTTAACTTTAAAATCAATACACAAGTATGATTCCACTTGTGCTTTAGATCAACAGCTCAGACTAACTCCACAACCTTTTGAGAAAAATGTTTTTTTGAAAGGACAGAACTTTAATTTGTGGTTTATTTGTATCAACTCTTATTTAACACAGTTGCATTTTTAAGCAGGCACCTAACACCTGAATACATATCAAATTCTACACTGGAAAAATGACCATGTAATGTATTGAATGCTGCAACTCCACAGGCTCCTCCTCTTCACATGACAGTTTACAACTCACTTCAGTGATAACAGATTCATTAAACAGATTCATTTAATTGTTGCCAAGAAATTAAGTATTAAAATTAAAACCACCCAGAATCCCCAAGAATTAATGAAAGCTCTTCAAAATCAAGGTAACACCATGTTGGCAAGAAGTATATGAATCCACAATTTCAGTCTTCTAAAAACATATATCTACTCTGAAAAGCAAACCTGTAAGCAAACAATAAAACCCTTGATGTAAAAGGAAAGAAAATATTTTGTTTTCTCCTTTTTTACCTAGTATCATGAACTTGTAAACTAGATGATCTCGTACACAGTAAAACCATCACTACAAAACAACAAACACTAGGTGTCACTACTCACACCTGAAAAAAGTTGACAGAATTTTGATGTATAAAGTGGTGCCCTAGGGACTGTAAAACTGGAGACTGAAGCAGACATTTGAAACACTAATCATAAAAAAAACCTAAGAATATACCAAGGATTATACCAAGGATTCCCAAACTTCGTAGTCAAATGGAGTTCGGCAAACTCTTTGTTCCTCATGGGCTCTAATCTTGCAAAGTTTTTAAAGATGTTAAAGATTTTTGCAAAGGGTACAAATTGGGAACCTGCCTGTAGGATCAATTTAATTCCAAAAAAAATTATTTTTGCATTTCTGTTTCACCAAAGGACTACCATCTTTCATAGGCCTTAAAAATAAAAAAGATAACACTGATCAGGTAACACTGTAGTAAATGACAGAAGTTCACAGAAAAAGAGTGTTGCTAACTCAATACCTGTACACAGAGATCCAGTGGAGTAATACCATTTTTGTCTGGTAAATATTTGGCTCCTCTCATCAAAAGAATTTGTGCCGTGTCTCTCTGACCATGGCTATTCAAAAGAAAAGAAGGAAAAGTTAATACAGCACTTATGCTCTACTATGAGGGATAAATCTGACTTTATTGTATCTAACAAAGAAAACCAACATAAGCTAGGAGAAAACAAATAGTTACGGTATGAAACTAAGCAGAAACACAGGATGGAAGATAATGCCACTTATATTGTTCTAATACCTTTCAAGGCCACTGCAGAAACACAGTGCAAAATTAGGTACAGCCCATTTATCAAGCCAGAGTCACCCTCATCAATCAGAAATCATTCACATTAGCCTAGGCTCAGAAATATGTATGAGCTGCATTTTGTGCAAAAAGGAGCTCTTTCTCAATTCACACCCTAATTTACTTCACAGAGAAAGTTTTCTCCACCGAGTTCTTTGTTCACTCCTACCAGATTTGGGGAAAAAAATAATCTAATTGTGCTTTAACATTAGTAAGATTTTTTTTTATTGATAAAACAACTTTTTTTGCACAAGAGTTCAATACATCTCTCTTGGCTCTACTTTCTTTTAACCAATACATGTGAATGTTTTGCCTAGCCTTTCTGCTGAAGAAAACGAGAAATTGGGTACCAATGATTAGATGTTGACTTCATTAAAAACACATTGAAAGACTAGTTAACTATTGCCTTCACCGATATTTAGTGCATATACTGACAAATGTAATACAGAAGTATCTAAAGGGTGAAATGAAAGACTGATACAAAAGACATAGCAATTAAGGTTACAGATACAAGTTTTTCAATGAAGTTTTACATCGCAAGCTAGTTTGCAGTGCGCTCTTTACGCAAATGTATGTAAGTATTTCCTGTCCTGGAACACACCAAGGCTGCCTGCACTAACAGTTCAGGAAGGGCACAGGAAAAGTGACAATTAACAGCTGAGGGGCAAGACATAGCTTCACTGGTCTCTCAATAGTTCCCAGCTGAATTCTCCTCATTCATGTCCTTCCAGCCGAGAAAACCAACAGGTTAATCTAATGTACCAGGCTTCATCCCAACACAAATGGAGTCAGCTACCAGATCTCAGAAAGGAGCTAAGACTAATGGCCTACTTGAAGCACCTCCTCACTGTAATTCTCTAGACTAAGTGCACAGCCCAACACCTTGAAAAAACAGGGGTTTCAAAGCCAGACTTTGAGCACCAATATCCTTTCTCCAGCCATAACCAGCCACTGCTACCACATCCTGCTCTCCGTGTCATCAGGGACCTATAACCCTTCTTCCCAGGTGGCAGCACCACCAATTGGCACTTCTGACAAGGAGACATTGACTTCTGCAACACACCCTGTTCATTCTATCCTGCCAGCTGCTCCAATTGTTAATTTCTAGAGGAACATCACCACTTGCAACACACTCCCTTCTCATGGAAAATCTCCAAGCCAAGGCAAGTTGCTTACTTCTTTTAAAGTGGATGCCAATACCAGTCCCTAAATCAAGCACCAAGGCATTCAATTAGCTAGCAGCTATTTATTCTCCACCTCCCTTCTTCTCAACTGCCAAGAAGTCAGCATACACTAGCTCCAGAGACCAGGGCTCCCACTACATAACTCTTGGCAGGCCACCAGGTCAGTCCAATTCTCCTTTTGTTTATATTAACATTTAATCATAGGTGAACTATTTAACCTGTAACCAGAACACAGGGGTTATAAAATTGTCAATGTTCTACCAAATAGCAGAAATGCTCCAATTAAAACAAAAGGTCATTTATCATATGTGATTAGTTTTGAAATAAAACTAAACTGTGAAGAAAACGGAACTGATCAAAGCAACAATATCATTTCAATTCAACATTGTAACTTTAAGGCATATATGCACATTTCATGTACACTGTAATACCATAATGTACATTAAAGAATAGTAAAACTTGCTTTATAAAAGGCTGCATTTTTAGTTTACTCAAAATCATCTAAGTTGGTAGATCTCATTTTTTCAGAAAAAAGTTCAGTAGTCATTGATTTATGACTCATGCTAGAATATGCACAGCTATGTGTTTAACATGTCTGTTAGAAAGAGGTATATAAGCCTGCAGTACTAAGACAAGTATTTAGATGAGTCAAACTACATTCAAACATGAGGCAAGATTAAATACCAGTCAGCTTTTACGTTTCCTAAATTTTGTGCTTTCTAATCATTAAACATTCAAGGTCAGATTGGACAGGGCTCCGAGCAACCTGATCTAGTTGAAGATGTCCCTGCCCATGGCAGGGGGGTTGGACTAGATGACCTTTAAAGGTCCCCTTCCAACCCAAACTACTCTATGATTCTATGATTGCAGAAGGTGGCAGGGGGCAGGAGGGGAATCAATTTCACTTTTAGCACAGTATTCAAAAGTTAAGAATATATACCTGCAAGCAAAATAGAGCGGAGTTGCCCCTGACACATTCGGCCTGTTGATATCCGCACCGCTGTCTAGCAAACACTGCACTGTCTAGAACAGAAGAAAATACCAGCATTAGAAAAAGTGCAACAGAAAAGTCTATTGGCTTGCAACTATTTAGTGTCATACATGTCTAATTACACTGAAGGATTTAATTTTCAGTAATGAATCTCAAAACCAAAATTCCTAAACACTATATGGAAAATCATGGCTGTCAGAGCTCATAAAGCTTCCTTTGAACTTCCCATTTTAATAACAATGCCTTTTACTGAACTTCAGCTAATCCCAAAGACCCCTGGAACTACAAGCCATTCAAAAAGGAAAACGACACTTTTTAGAGAAGTAAGCCTCAAGCTAGTGACAGCCATAAACAAGCTTATCATAAGCTGACTTTTTAAACACACACTAGAATGGGAAAAATAAGTAAGCAAATTCTAAAATACGGAAACATTGAGCAGACTCTCAAACAACTTTTGCTATACTCCAGTCACATCAAGTAGGTAAGTCTATAGATAACAGTTTCTCAGAATTTGGTCTTCCAAAGTAGAGCTCTGACAACGACAACAGAAAGGATCTGGGTAGAAAGATAATTTTTTTTGTACATAATCCTGGAGACAATCTGTATAATTCAAGATCACTACTCTACATGGCTGTAATGCAGTTCAAGTAAAGCATTTACTCTGAGAGTAAATAGTCAGCCCTAATGCAAGGCCAGGTCTAAAAATTATTCACACAGATCAGTAAAAGAAGAGTCTATGCGAACTTGTTTACTTCTAATGTTAAATATCTAACTGACCCAACCCTGTGTTCGTTTTTTATTCACAGTAAATTAAGATCATTTCAGATTTCAAAAGCACATAAGAGCTGGTACAATTATGAATCAAACACATTCTAAAAAGTAAGGAAGAACATTTTCAAATGTTTAACATTACATCAAAACCTGCAATCAACAAGGCAATAGTACTACAGAACAGCTGAATAGTATACAGTAAGTCACTTAAACTCCCATAAACACTGAGATCAATCATCTCCACAAGAATAAGTTAGTTGTTCCCATGGAAGTGTATGCAGTCAATACTAAGACAAACAATAGAGTCCTTCACACTTCTTACCATTATCATGTGCACGACTAGCCTGAAGTTTATAAAAAACCACACACACCACCACTGAGGCTTTACCCAATTCTTCACAAATCCAATGTGTTAATAAAATTTAGAAACTTACTGTCTTGTGTCCGTTTTGACAAGCTACATGAAGGGCTGTCTGTCCCATTGCATCTTCAACATCTACATTACTGACATGCTGAACAAGATCATGAAGCAATTCTGTTCGTCCATTGACAGCCAACCAATGAATCTAAGTACAAAATGATTATATGTTTCCTTTAGCAATGATGTAAGTATTTCATAAATAGGATTTTAGACTTCACTGTACTATCGTCAACATTTTCACAAAGAGATGCTTTTAACAATACTATCATATGCTTAGGTACTTTGATCACATCTTTTGATTCTTAAGGGCACTGGACACACAGCAGTTTTGTTTATTTACATGTAAAACAGCAGAAGCTTAAGAAATTAGAATCTTCAAATTCTTCATTCATTTTAAGAGCACCATGAGAATAAATAGCACTTACTGCAGTCAAGCCTTCATTATTGCAAATGTTGACATCTGCACTGTATTCCAGCAGCTTGCTCATACATTTCTTCTGGCTATTAACACAAGAATGCATTAAAACCCAGCCAGGGAAAACAATTTACGAAGACCAAGTATCTAATCAACGCTCCACTCATTCTAATTCATAACTGTACAAATCATAGCAGGTAGTTTTACTTTACAAGGAGTATGGTACTGAGCACGTGAAAAAGAGAAGTGATCATCAGTAGCACCTGACACTCATACAGTGCAAGTGTCACCTATGACAGCATAGGCCTAAAAACATAGTTGCGTAGCTGAATGTTGTTGTGGAAAGTGTAGAAGTGCTTAACCACTGCTCTAACAGTTTCAGTTCAGCATGAACTATGCTCTCAAGACAAGAAACTAGAGTTCAGCTAATGGAAATTCATGAAGTTCATCATCGTCGGTACACTTCAGTGAACACATTTATAGTACACCACTAAATCATTATTTAATGAGACACTCATAACTATGTAAATCTTCGACAAGTACAATAACTGCCTTAATGAAAGTAGGGGTGTTTTTCCTACTTCATGTTTTGTTTGGTCTTTTAACATGCTCTAATGCTCTAAGTGCTTTACCCTTTAGAGTTTATTCTTACTTTTCCTTTTTATTTGGTTCCTCTCACACCTTTCTCATGCCTCCTTTCCACATAACTGTCTCCTTTGTGTATTTCTGCATTTCATCATGTACCACTTCGCTGCTTCTTTCTCCCTCTCTTCCAAATACTCCTCCCCATACCTAAAAGCCACTAAACACTACCTCCTCCTCATGTGAAGTACCAGCTGTGATACAATTCAGGTACTGTAACACATACATGCTCTAAAAAGAAAAAGACAACATTACCAGCTGTGTGTTTCCACATACTACAATTCAAGAAATAAGATCTTAAAAGATCTTAAAAAGGTGCTTGCTCATTGTTTTGGGTTTTTCCCCCCTCTTCCAATATTGTGAAGGCAAACTTTGTATTTCTTTCCTTGTAGTAAAAATTTCCTTGGAGACACTATCTGAGAAAAATCTGAAATCTCTGAATCCTTCCAAACCCTCCACTGTCCTCTTCGAAATCTTTTCTTACTTAGCTAACTGGAAGGTGAATGCATCCCTTGTTCGATCACTGTTGTAAGAATCATTAAGCTCCTGCTTAACAGAAAACACTAAAATGACTGGCACTGAAATTGGCACTTCAGATATAACTTCCTATTTACATAAAATTATTTTCTGAATATTCCAAGCATGGATTTTAAACTTCACGTTCCCTGTAAGTATGCCATTTCTATTTTCAAAAGTGAAAACCAAAGTATTTTGTTTGAACTATGCAAAAATATTACAAAACATGTCAGCTCAAGTGCATTATGCACAAAACCTTTTTAAGAGTTTAAGAACTTTTTTCTTACCCATTCCTTGCTGCTAAATGAAGAGGTGTGCATCCTGAAATGTCCTGATAGTTTGGATTTGCCCCTTTTTTTAATAATAGAACAAGGCATTCAACTGATCCACAGCTAAGAACAAAGTAAGGAAGGGAAAAACTGTAACAAGGATATTTATAAACCAAATCTATATTGACATAAAGACAACAGCAATACTATGTACATATTAGATTCAGTAGAAAGTCTTAACACAAAACTGTTTTTATACCCTTATAGTTCAAATTACACAAAGTTAAAGGAAAGACACTCAAATGCAGCGAGAACTGACCATAACTTATATTAATAAATAGGTGCTAGTCTTCTATGTGATTTTAGTAACTTTAAAACCTAACAGTGAATCTTTAAGACCGCCAATTGTTTAAAACATAAACTGTTTAAAATGTTTTGCTTACTATTTCCTCTCACCTCCCTCATCTTTAATCTATTCACAGGACTGAATTTTCCATTAAATAACAATTCCAATATCATTTTTTTTGTTACACTTCAGTGTCTGGAAGTTACGTTTAAAAGTTTAAATATCAGAAAAATTCTAAAACGCATACAAATATTTCTTTGCTATTTGCTTTGAATTTGTAACGCCCTTTTACTTTTCTTCAGAATAATCAATGTCACCAAGAACACAAACTTTGCATTATATGTTTATCTTACTCCTGAACTCTTCAAGAGGAAGAGCTGATTGGGAGGATAAACATATAGTATTTTTGTATCCCTCATGAGCAGCTTATCCATTGTTACTAGTCTTCCCAATGACAGAACTGCTACACAACAACCCAAAGAAACTGAAGACCAGCTGCACAGCTAAGTGCAAAAACAGCATCCTGATGACCATTTAATGACAAAACAACTAGCCAAGATAAAAGAGAATCCAGAAACTAAGTGTAACACAATTTCTTGGGTTTTATGATCAATAATTACAGCTTTTCAAAGATACTTCTAAGATGTATGCTAAAAATCTACTTGCGTTTTTTCTTTAAGTACTTTCTTAAGCAAATTTTATATAAGCAGCATGTAATTCTGAGATGGAATGTTTGGGAAACAGGTATTTCTAAACAGTCTGCTTAGAAAGCTGGAACTTCTACCTTTATTGTGCCCAAATACCTGCTATTTTATGCAATACTACTACTATTTCTTTTATTTTTACTTTTTTAAAACAGTTTAAATGTAAGAACTTTCAAGATATTTAAAATGGGACCCAAATACAGAACATTCATTCATTAGTTTAAAGTTTAGTTTCTTGAAAGGCCATTTCAAAAAAAAAAACAAACCACTATCTGGTTCATTTCTATTAAGGTTATGTTAATCTGGCTGTTTCTTGGCAATATAGATTTATCCCCACTGAAGAGCTAAATAAATAATAAATAATCTACATCACGGATTTGAAATTTGCATTTAAGTCCTTTATCCAGGACACAAATATTTATTAGAAGTGGCCAAGTTATATCCCCTTAAGTTATGGTCACATGAAGTACTTTGGAACAGCTGCTTCCAATTGTTTTAGAATACTTTAAAAACAAGCAGCACCTGAAGACAAGGTTTCCCTAAATCTACAAAGGCAAGAGTAACCCAGCTATACAGGATACACATAATGGCTACACTTCTTCAGAGACTGAGATTTCACAGAAAGGCAAAAAAGTATTCACCAAGACTTCCAAGAATTTGGAAAGCCATTTGATATCATGTGTAAAACCTGTCCTCTCAATGAGGCAGGCACATTGCTAAAAGAACAAACAAAATAACAAAAAAGTGTAAAAACAAAATGTTTACTGATACTACAGAGTTTTCCAGCTTACATTGGTGCCTTAGATTTGTGGTAATACTTTCATTGTTAACTTCTGGACTGGACTCAAGTAATTCTTACTTTGCTGCAATATGAAGCAAACTTCTCTTCACACGTCCAAATGCATAATTCACATCAAATTTTGAATTTGATAGCAGCTCTGAGACAGACCTTCAAACAGAAATATAACTTTAATTAAAAAATAGCTCACAATATCCAAGCAAAGTATATATTGTAACTTGCACACAAGTATGCTATTTCTTACTTGATCATCATTTCTTTTCCCTCCAACTAATTTCTGAACAAGAGATCCAACAGCTTTCAAGCATTTGCATATTAACAGTACTTTTACTCTTTCACTTCTTACTTGTACATAAAAAATGAACTGTGACACTGGGCAACTGTTTCAAATGTAAACAAGTAAGAATTACACCAGATGGCCAAATCACTTCTTTAAAAATATGGTAAACAAGTATAGTAATAGCTTTGGTTTGAAAAACAATAAATTCAAGTATATTAATAGCTTTGGTTTGAAAAACAATAAATTCCCATTTTCCTCCTTATTGCAACACAGACACCCTAACCAGATAACCAGCAGCTTTCCCAAACACAGGCAAAGTTCAGAAGGAAGACTGGTATGTGAAATCATCATGATGAAGTAGGACACATGATATGCCAATAGGATAAGAAATTTAAATAGGACCCTTCAAGCCCTAATGAATTAGCAAAGACAAAATATTAGTTAAGAAAATATTTCAAAATAGGTAAAACTGCAAGCGAATTGGTGATTTCAACCTCCAGTAATGAGCTGATCACATAATTTAAAACCCTTGCACCACACAATACCAACAAGATGCTATGTAGCAGAACAAATGTTTATCCGGAGTAGATAAACAGTTTATAGTTTCAGTAAGAGTTACTACCTGCTTGCCTACAAAACTCAGCAGAAGGTAGCACCACTTAACTGGTACTATACAGCCCCCAGGTCCCAATCACTTTGAAGACTACTGGGTAAGAGGAACAGCTGCTCATCTGAGGAATCCCAGAAGTATCAATCTCATTGTCCAACTCTTATTCCATGTCTTTCTAAGACATCTAATGACACTAAGAGCTTCTATGCCATCAATAAACACACACTCAGAGCTACAACCCAGTTACAAAACAATGCTTTTGTTCTTATCCTAGGACAAATTTCTCTATGTGCATCAACAGAACAAATCCCAGCTCCAGTCTATGGCATAAAATAAAACAAGTCTCAGGTAAGAATATGCTGGGATGCATACAGTCAGTGACTAACTTCAGCTACAGAAGCTATCTCAGCAATTCAGCAGCAGAACTCCCAAGAGTGCTCTAGCAGCTACACTCTAGCAAACATGCCATTTTTTCGGACCTTAAAAAAAAAAAAAAAAAGAAATTTAAAGAAGCTCTCACCTGTGCTGGTCAGCCATAACCATCGGCATTAGTGTATAGACAGCAGTTTCATTATCTGTGAAGAAATTAAGTTACTCTGTTATCATAAAGAAGTCTTTTATGTAAAATAAATTCATTAGCAACTCTTATTTACCTTTTAATATGTCCATTGTTCAACAGATCATTCTTTTTACATAGGTTATACGTACCTAAAGTTTCATTATAAAGACAAAGCCACCATACTTAGATAGAAGAGGTAATCAACAGGATTGCAATACACGAAATTTAAATGTGGCTTTTTTTCTTTTACAAAGTAATAATTACAGAATTTTCAATGGAGCATCAATTTCTTTAAATTGACAATTCTTTTACTCAAGTCAAAGTACTTAAGACATGCGCGTTAACAAAAAAGAAGTAAACAGATTATTTGAAAAAGAAGGAAATTTCCTGTGTTCCAAGGTGACTTGCATAGTCCTGATACCTATGAGTTTGTAAAAGTGATTTCTTTAAACTAAGTTACTCCATAACTATTCATTTTTGTCTCTAAAGTTGAATACCCGAATGCAGTAAGTTTCATCTTCATTTCTAATCAGTTTCATATTCCATGTTTGAAGGCAATGGAAAAAGGCCAGAACACAAAGATCCAAGTCAATGGTGGGACCAGACTGACATTCAGCTGTACAGTCTCTGTCAGTACTACTGTGCACACACCAGCACACTGCATGGGTATGACATGCCTGTTTCATCACTTACAGACTTTCTGAAGTAAGATACTATTTTTAAAGAATTAATTTGACAAAACTTAAAAGACTTTAATGTATAATATTAATGTACAATAATTATTATTAATTATTATTGATGTATAATGATTCTATTTTCTAGCTTGAAGCAAACTACCCATTGTTGGGAGTACAATCTCCACAGACTCTTCACGTAGATGCCAGCTTATGACAGGAGGGACTACACTTTCTGAGAACCCAGGTATATGGTTCCAGGATATGGAAATACAGGACTGTTCTCGAAAAACTTTTATTTTGAACCTTTTCCTCATCATCTTAATTGATCCAAATATCAAAGTTGCAAAGCAATCAGAACAGGAAGAATTAAAACAGACCCAAACAAGTGTAGCTTCTCATATCTTTTACATACGATGCTTCTATACATTCACTACTTCCACTAGATAGGCAAGCTGACATTTACCAAATATTAAACAAAGAATTCTTCAGAGTTATCAAGTGGAGTCAGAGAAACCCTTACCATGCTGCAGCTATGCTATTAATTATTATTCTACAGTGCTCCAAGATTAGTGCTGCTACCCACTCTTTGAAGCAGTCTGTCTGTAGCTACCAAAAGAAAGAAGCAATGCTAGTCTAGCATTACCTTTGAACACTGAAAAGAGGTAAGCCATATTCAAATTACATTAATTCTGTTATTTATAAAAAATAATTTTAAAAAACCCCAATGTTGCTTACAGTGAACACATGGTAGAAGAGACTCCTAAAGGCCTCTCAAAACACCAAATGATGTTTCAAAGCTGCAGAGAGTAATTCTAACCATCAACAAGTTCAAGAGTTTGCACTGTCTATAGATTGTTCCTTATGGCAGAGCTCTGTGAGCATCAGATAACTCCATCCCCAACACGCACCTCTAGAATCTGACTGCTGGGGGCAAGGTAGGGGCAGGCTGGGAAGGAAGGGACACAAGCAGAGGGAGAGTCCTGGAAATAAAATTAAATAGATGCTAAACAAGTATCAATTGTGGAAAAGATCTGATCATTTTTTAAAAATGTATCCATGATTAGCTCCCAGTATATACAAATGAAAAAAAACTTTCTTGCTTGAGCTCTGTTCCACAGATCTCTTGGCAGGAAGATAAAGCTCTCCAACTGAAACAAAAAACAGAACTTCAGAACGTCAACTAAATCTGAGCATGACATCCTTACATATTCTCACAATCTATTAAAGAGAAGAGGCCAAAAAAAAAAAAATGCTTTAAATATACCAGCACACTTAACTGAAATGCTTAATATTGATCCTAGTTAAATTTAACTATATTGGAAGTATAGTGATCTAGAAAAAGACAGTAGTTAAATATGAGTGTAGCTGGGCCATAAAAGGTGTTTATAGTATAGCTAAAAAACTAAGCCCTTTGCTATTCTATTAACAGAATCTACACTGTGGAGCATATGCAGATTTTCCCAGAGCTTTTCTGTACAGAAATAATTAAAAGGGTGTGGGACTAAGGAGCTTTTGTGCCTATTTTTGGTAAATATTATCCCTATTCATAAACAAACTCCTACTGATTTAAGGTACAAGTACATGACACCAGGGACAGAAAAAGCGTTATACACTTCAGAACTTATTTGTTATCTAATTTGCTTACATTTCAAGTCATGAATACCTAAAGACAAAAAAGCACCCAAAATGCAGAGTCAGAGGCAATAAAGGGCCTAAAACCTACAACTTCGGGCTGCAAGGCCTAGTTTTCAGGCACTGAGCCTTAACAGTAGAATCCAGAAATTTGTGTCAAGCTCTTAAGTGCCCAAAAAAAAACCTGCGGAAGGATACTTCAGAAGAGTGATGAAAAAAACAATACTACTTCCTACTGGCAAGGTCAGCCCAGGGTATTCACTAGCACTGGACTCAGGTGTTAATGTTTGCTTTAAAAAAAAAAAAAAATCACTTAAAATTCATCATCTAGAATCCTGCCCTGACACGATACACTTAATATTTTATTTCATAAGAGATATTGGCTTGAATTTGGCAGAGATCACAATCTTAAAGAAGTGTCAGCACCATCCATAGAATACCCTAATGACTACAGCACAGGCAAAGGAAGTTAAATACCTGAACTTAGTGCCTTCTTCAGCATAAGGAAGTTCAAACATACATCTCCATTTCCTAAGACAGTACTATGACTCTTAGTTTAAGGATGGAGAGGTAAACTGTGTACCTTTCAAATTAAAGCTATTCAAATGTATGTGGGGAAAAAAAAAGTCATAATTCAAGAGGCCAGATAGAGCGCACAAGAAGCCACCAAACCGCGTGCCATACTAGATTGGTGGTATTTTCTAAGCTGATCCTGTCAGGACATGTTTGGAGCAAAACACTAAAACCCAAACCTGCTTCTCAAGAAGAGTTTGGGCAGGCCTGCATAAACCTAGGTCAAGAAAGAAGACACGTAATGAGCTAAGATGTACCCAAAGCTAGATGGCCATTGAACAGAACATTTATTGGAATGTAATTTGAGACTTCAGTGCCTGAACTCCATTTAACTCCTTATTTCAATCCGGCTGTGATTTGTTTCATGTAATTCTTAGAGAATACATAGGATTGACATTCCTTCTGCTCTACAGGGCATGAGAAGTACTTGTTCTGGAGGTCACAGGACTTGCACTTGCACTGCCACAGACATAATTACTCTGAAGTGTAAGATAATAACGCCCAAGACAGGAAGAAAACAGCTGAACTCAAATTCAGAATGAATTTGCCTGCACTAGTACTGGAGTAAATTTAAAGCAGCTCCAACCGGCACAGGTTGTGCTAAGCATTATTTATATTACCATCATCAATTAGTTAAACTGGTGCTACTATGTTATTTCTGTAAGTCTGAGCTTACATTAACAGTATTACATCAGTTTTCACTGCTGCCGTTCAAGAGCTTAAAAGCAGCAGCAAAATCCGTCTGAAACTTCTCTGTCATTTTGTGAAATTTATGAGCAGCTGCACTGGCAAACACTGAAACTGTTGACAGGTGACAATAAGGAAAGGGTGTAGCAGCTCAGCGTAGGTGGAAGTCCATGTGCAGCAGCCAGGAAGGCCGAACAGGGAACGCATAAAGAAAACAGAATATTACTCTCTTTCCTCCACCACCGGAGATGAAAGCTGGCAGACAGACATCCAAAGACTCGACTGTAAAAATAAACTCTGAAGAAAGCACAATGAGAGCGCATGACTCACAGGAACAGAAACTTTTGCATATCCAAAAGCTTTTGCAGGGGTAGTCTTCCCAAAGGCTGGACCTGGCTGGAACACTAAACTACTTGCCATAAGAGCCTGAAGCTGTATTTTCAAGTCCATCCCGATATCGGGTGGCTAGCACCCATGAGAAGTAGTTTAGAGCCAAAAAAATTAGGCTGTGACAGTGACAGAGACTTACAACACTTTTTCAAACAAAATTCAGCACTATCAAAAGAAAACCCAACAAAGATTTGTCATCACTAGCGTGTCATCAATGAAGCATCTAACAAAGGATTTAAAAACGGATAAAAAGGGAGTCCAGCACCCCAGAACACTCGCTCGCCCGGGCCCAGGGCGGCAGCAGCGGGCAGAGGCATCCCACGCCCTGTGACAGACACCCCGGGACACCGGCGAAAGGAAGGGGACGGGGAAGTCGTTGCTGTTGTTGTTATCGCCATTACAAATAAAAAAGCTCCTGGGAGGGGGAGGGAGGGAGCCGGTTTCCATTCTCCCGAGTCGCCTTGCCAGGCGGGACCACGCTACGGCCCCCGGCTCAGCTCACTCCCACCGGGCCGGGTG